GTTAACAGCATGTACTACACGTATTATCTTGTGAATGAAGTTAACAGCATGTACTACACGTATTATCTTGTGAATGAAGTTAACAGCATGTACTACACGTATTATCTTGTGAATGAAGTTAACAGCATGTACTACACGTATTATCTTGTGAATGAAGTTAACAGCATGTACTACACGTATTATCTTGTGAATGAAGTTAACAGCATGTACTACACGTATTATCTTGTGAATGAAGTTAACAGCATGTACTACACGTATTATCTTGTGAATGAAGTTAACAGCATGTACTACACGTATTATCTTGTGAATGAAGTTAACAGCATGTACTACACGTATTATCTTGTGAATGAAGTTAACAGCATGTACTACACGTATTATCTTGTGAATGAAGTTAACAGCATGTACTACACGTATTATCTTGTGAATGAAGTTAACAGCATGTACTACACGTATTATCTTGTGAATGAAGTTAACAGCATGTACTACACGTATTATCTTGTGAATGAAGTTAACAGCATGTACTACACGTATTATCTTGTGAATGAAGTTAACAGCATGTACTACACGTATTATCTTGTGAATGAAGTTAACAGCATGTACTACACGTATTATCTTGTGAATGAAGTTAACAGCATGTACTACACGTATTATCTTGTGAATGAAGTTAACAGCATGTACTACACGTATTATCTTGTGAATGAAGTTAACAGCATGTACTACACGTATTATCTTGTGAATGAAGTTAACAGCATGTACTACACGTATTATCTTGTGAATGAAGTTAACAGCATGTACTACACGTATTATCTTGTGAATGAAGTTAACAGCATGTACTACACGTATTATCTTGTGAATGAAGTTAACAGCATGTACTACACGTATTATCTTGTGAATGAAGTTAACAGCATGTACTACACGTATTATCTTGTGAATGAAGTTAACAGCATGTACTACACGTATTATCTTGTGAATGAAGTTAACAGCATGTACTACACGTATTATCTTGTGAATGAAGTTAACAGCATGTACTACACGTATTATCTTGTGAATGAAGTTAACAGCATGTACTACACGTATTATCTTGTGAATGAAGTTAACAGCATGTACTACACGTATTATCTTGTGAATGAAGTTAACAGCATGTACTACACGTATTATCTTGTGAATGAAGTTAACAGCATGTACTACACGTATTATCTTGTGAATGAAGTTAACAGCATGTACTACACGTATTATCTTGTGAATGAAGTTAACAGCATGTACTACACGTATTATCTTGTGAATGAAGTTAACAGCATGTACTACACGTATTATCTTGTGAATGAAGTTAACAGCATGTACTACACGTATTATCTTGTGAATGAAGTTAACAGCATGTACTACACGTATTATCTTGTGAATGAAGTTAACAGCATGTACTACACGTATTATCTTGTGAATGAAGTTAACAGCATGTACTACACGTATTATCTTGTGAATGAAGTTAACAGCATGTACTACACGTATTATCTTGTGAATGAAGTTAACAGCATGTACTACACGTATTATCTTGTGAATGAAGTTAACAGCATGTACTACACGTATTATCTTGTGAATGAAGTTAACAGCATGTACTACACGTATTATCTTGTGAATGAAGTTAACAGCATGTACTACATGTATTAACTTGTGAATGAAGTTAACAGCATGTTTTCATGTATTATCTTGTGAATGAAGTTAACAGCATGTACTACATGTGATCTCTTGTAAATGAAGTTAACAGCATGTACTACACGTATTATCTTCTGAATGAAGTTAACAGCATGTACTACACGTATTATCTCGTGAATGAAGTTAACAGCATGTACTACGTGTATTATCTTGTGAATGAAGTTAACAGCCTGTACTACATGTATTATCTTGTGAATGAAGTTGACAGCATGTACTACATGGGTTCTCTTGTAAATGAAGGTAACAGCATGTACTACACGTATTATCTTGTGAATGAGGTTAACAGTATGTACTAACAGCATGTACTACATGTGTTCTCTTGTAAATGAAGTTAACAGCATGTACTCCACGAATTATCTTGTGAATGAAGTTAACAGCATACACTACACGTATTATCTTGTGAATGAAGTTTACAGCATGTACTACATGTATTATCTTGTGAATGAAGTTAACGGCATGTACTACATGTGATCTCTTGTAAATGACGTTAACAGCATGTACTACACGTATTAACTTGTGAATGAAGATAACAGCATGTACTACACGCATTATCTTGTGAATGAAGTTTACAGCATGTACTACATGAATTATCTTGTGAATGAAGTTCACAGCATATACTAGCATGTACTACACGTATTATCTTGTGAATGGAGTTTACAGCATGTACTACATGTATTATCTTGGGAATGAAGTTAACAGCATATACTACACGTATTATCTTGTGAATGAAGTTTACAGTATGTACTACATGTATTATCTTGTGAATGAAGTTGACAGCATGTACTACATGTGTTCTCTTGTAAATGAAGTTAACAGCATGTACTACACGTATTATCTCGTGAATGAAGTTAACAGCATGTACTACACATATTATCTTGTGAATGAAGTCAACAGCATGTAATACACGTATTATCTTGTGAATGTGGTTAACAGCATGAACTACACGTATTATCTTGTGAATGAAGTAAACAGCATGTACAACACGTATTATGTTGTGAATGACGTTAACAGCATGTACTACACGTATTAACTTGTGAATGAAGTTAACCGCATGTTCTACATGTATTATCTTGTGAATGAAGTTGACAGCATGTACTACATGGGTTCTCTTGTAAATGAAGGTAACAGCATGTACTACACGTATTATCTTCTGAATGAAGTTAACAGCATGTACTACATGTGTTCTCTTGTAAATGAAGTTAACAGCATGTACTACACGTATTATCTTTTGAATGAAGTTAACAGCATGTACTACATGTCATCTCTTGTAAATGAAGTTAACAGCATGTACTACACGTATTAACTTGTGAATGAAGATAACAGCATGTACTACATGTGATCTCTTGTAAATGAAGTTAACAGCATGTACTCCACGAATTATCTTGTGAATGAAGTTAACAGCAAGTACTACATGTATTATCTTGTGAATGAAGTTGACAGCATGTACTACATGGGTTCTCTTGTAAATGAAGGTAACAGCATGTACTACACGTATTATCTCGTGAATGAAGTTAACAGCATGTACTACACATATTATCTTGTGAATGAAGATAACAGCATGTACTACACGTATTATCTCGTGAATGAAGTTAACAGCATGTACTACGTGTATTATCTTGTGAATGAAGTTAACAGAATGTACTACATGTATTATCTTGTGAATGAAGTTAACGGCATGTACTACATGTGATCTCTTGTAAATGAAGTTAACAGCATGTACTACACGTATTATCTTGCGAATGTGGTTAACAGCATGAACTACACGTATTATCTTGTGAATGAAGTAAACAGCATGTACAACACGTATTATCTTGTGAATGAAGTTAACAGCATGTAATACACGTATTATCTTGTGAATGAGGTTAACAGCATGTACTACACGTATTATCTTGTGAATGAAGTTAACAGCATGTACAACACGTATTATCTTGTGAATGAGGTTAACAGCATGTACTACACATATTATCTTGTGAATGAAGTCAACAGCATGTACTACACGTATTATCTTGTGAATGTGGTTAACAGCATGAACTACACGTATTATCTTGTGAATGAAGTTAACAGCATGTACTACACGTATTATCTTGTGAATGAAGTTAACAGCATGTTCTAAATGTATTATCTTGTGAATGAAGTTAACAGCATGTACTACATGTGTTCTCTTGTGAATGAAGTTAACAGCATGCACTACACGTATTATCTTGTGAATGAAGTAAACAGCATGTACAACACGTATTATCTTGTGAATGACGTTAACCTGCTGTTTCCTGTCATGCCTTTACATCTGTTTCTTGGTGTGTTGACTTTATATTATATTACATTGATGCAATGAAACACAATAATTAAATATCTATGTGTCAATTCGTCTGAATTAAGAACAACAAATCGATGATAGTCTAATTACAAAACCAATATGAAACAATAATAAAAAATAATGACGCTTTAGGTCATTAAATATGACCTTTAAGATACAACGTTTTGTTATCAAACAGGTAAATCGATGCTATTATATCTATGTCAACGTTGTATGTGTTGTGTAGAGCAATTAATATATCATTGTTCTATAAATAAGTTTATAAACAACAATAACAATATAAATCCTGCTACAATCCTTTATAGTGACATTTGTGAAGAGGCGACTGATGAAGTCATATAAACAACATTGATGTATCGATCCATTACACCGTTCCAATAACATACCTGCATACAATTCAAGGTTCGGATAATTTCTCTCAGGGATAGAGACCGTCATCAATAAAATCATTACCCCGAGTCCAGCGCTATGGTACACGGTGGGTACTGCCACCGGTAATTGCATGAGTAGATATATACGTGTGTATGTTACGGTAGAGACGTAGGTGATAGATGGCTCAGAGTGTAAACAGCGCACATGGCATCTAATTAGTGATTTAGTGTCACCATTTAATGTGAGCTTTGAAAGTAGGCCGGCTTCAATGGCGTGCCGGCAACCCATTGTAGTCCAAATGTATTGTTTACCGCCGCGAAAGGTACAGTATCAAGTACGGCTTTTACACGGCATAAACAATTCATGTGACAGCTATATCGAGATGTTGGTTCTAATGTAAAGATTCGCTGGATATAACTGTCTGGGATAAACTCTAAAAACAACAATACAGGATGCCGTTCAGATGGCAATAGTTACAGCTCTGTACGTGACCAGAGACGCGATACCATTATTGACTGTTGATTGGAACATCAATTATTTCTTACACGTTAATCTTTTCATCTTTAATGAGATTAAACTATTTTTATTTGTTTTTGTGTTTCAGGACTAAAGATGGCTTCACGCCCACGGATAGAAAAGTTAAGTGCTGTGAATTCAGTGGATATGAGATTGTGTTAAAGACTAACGAAGATAACGTAACTCTACATATTGTCAGTGGTTGTTCAGTATAGCAGGATGGAATGTTCTCGATGTTGATGCATCATAGAGTGAAACAGCCTCTTTAACGGATCAGCATGTTGTGTTAACATCATGAGCAACAGGGATATGCCGTAAAAAGTATATTGACACAAATTTGTGCAGTGATGGGATAGGTAAATATCACGACTTCCGGTTCCGGTACCTTAAGATTGACACCATGTAGATATAGATGATGGCGGACAGTCTATCGAACTCAACCTCAGTTCTGAGTGCGGAGGAGTCCCAGACTCCCTGGCCCTCCATTATCATGTTCGCAACCGGAGTAACGGGAAATGTGTTGGCCCTGATTGTTCTTATCAAGTCTCCGAACGAACAACGTCGGTCTGTCTTCTACCGACTTGTCGGAGTTCTAGCCCTCACTGATCTTTTGGGTATCTGTGCGACTTCCCCGGTCCCGTTCATGGTATATGGCAATCAGATTCGCTTGAAGGAACGACCGCAAATCTGTAACTACAGTTCCTTTATGATGATATTCTTTGGATTTGCAACAGTGTTTGTGGTAGCGGTGATGGGTGTCGAACGGTATTTGGCACTGATGCATCCGTTCTTGTACAGTGAAAAAGTGACTACGTCCAAAGTGACGCAAACGTTGATCGGTTTCTTCGTGGCGGCGCTTATCTTGGGGTCATTGCCTTTATTGGGTCTTGGCTCAAACATAGTTCATTACCCCGGTACTTGGTGCTTCTTTAACTTCAATGGTGATACAATTGAAGATAGTATATATGCCTTTCTTTATTCATGCGTTGGTATTTTGATGATACTGATGCTGCTTTTTACAAATGTGATAGTAACGTGTCTACTGGTGAAGATGAGACGGTCGTCTGCTCTTCCCCACTACAGTAGCAACAGAGGACCGCCGGAACAGGAATTACAGATGATCGTGTTCCTCTCGGGAATAACATTTACTTTTGTGGCCTGCTGGTCTCCTCTGATGGTAGGTAACACTGGTGCCCTTTATGCTACTGTGGTATGGTAATACTTATACGGCCTATACATTGTTTTTGATACTGGATAAACAGTTGGTGCAAATCAATAAAAAACGTTAAAAATGCAATAGTTAGGTAATATGAATGTATCTACCTTCAACGTCAGTCTGGTGGCTGTGAATCAGAGATAAATGTGTGTTTTATGTCCCTCTCATGGTTAATGGGAGGCCTGGTCGTCGCTGTATGATGGTATATTGATAAATAAAATAAATATAAAACATTTGATATATCGCCCTTTCTAGCTAACATAAGACACTCTAAAGCACTCTACAGTACATATATTTAGTTATAGTTATAGTAGTTTTCCGGTACAGGAACTACTGTTGTTCCTCTACACCGGACCCTATTATCCATACTAAAGTTAAAGTTGTTTTCCGGTACAGGAACTACTGTTGTTATTCTACACCAA